TCTGATCGTCTCTTCGCCCCCTCACTCTCATCCTATCACTTCGTAGTTCATTATTCAAGGCTAACAAGCTTACGAGGTGCGTGGTCCGAGATGGCCGATATTGGCATTGACAAATTTAATTTGAATTACTATTATTATTAATATTACTATTATTATATTATTAGTAGTATTATTTAATCGAACTGCATATATTTTTATTTGTGATCCTGAGCATAAAAAAATGACAAATTAATATACTGATATAATTCTCCTAGGCCCTATGCAAGACTAGGAACAGAGTTCTACAAGTTTTAAAATTAAAGTAAAATTAGAAATTTGTAGGTTGTGCATTGCATAATCACACGTGTTTTGAAGAAACCCTTTGATGCACCGAGCGCTCAAGCTCGCCAAAGGTTCTGAATATTCGCGGTTGGCAGACCACGGAAGAGCAAATGATCTGTGTGGAGATACAAAATCCGTACCACGGAAAGATAATTCAAGTCCTGGCGTTGCTTTGAAGTGTCCTCTACCGAATTAAATAGTATTTCGAGTGCCATCAATTCGAGAGGAAGCTAATAATGTTATTGACAAAACCGTCTGGAACATTTACAAATTTTATTTGAAACTATTTATACCTGAACTTGTCAGAGTACGTTTACGAAAGAAACAAAATTCAACGAAAGAAATGACGTGTAATTTTTTCAAATTCCGGTTTGAAATCAGAATCGTTCCAGTTAACACATTTCTCAATTCGTACACTTGGTAAGGGCAACTATATTTTAACTGCAATCTACTTCCATAGTGAACAAGGAGCGATGCTTGAGGACTCTTGATACTATTTATAGCATATTTATGTTAACAGGAGAGGAATGAACTATTTTTATAAAAATCGGTTTTCTCCGATGAAACATTTTATACATTCTGTCAGCCTACTACAGAAGACCGACTAATAAAATAGAAAATTACGAATTTGTAACTGCTAATTCCATATAGTAAATAAGCAAATCCGGCTAATAATTTATAAAAAGCAACACTCAAAGATTCGAATGAACAATATGCGTGTAGTCATAAACCACACAATACCAGCCAGTCTGTCGGAATCATCTTTTCTCTCAGGCCTCCTATAAGGCAAGCATTCAGACATTAGGAAAATGTATCCTCAAATCCACTGAAAATAACGATCTCAAGATACGATCGAATATTTGAAACCTCGCTCCACAGCAAAGCGAAGATAACATGCTAAGCCGGTGCGGGTGTACCTCTCTGAATGCCGCTTCCCCAATCATTCACCAGCGGACACCGAAACCGAACATGAATTATTATTAACTTAGTGAGACGACTCCAAAGCTTTAAAAAGTTATTGAAGTATTTTCATATTAAATAATTTAAGGCTGTTTTTTAAAAAAAATAGAATAGGATACAAAAATGGCCAGTTCCCCATCACCAGATCGAAGCAGGTAGAATGACCCCTCGTTTTCCCGTAACGGACGGGATCTCACCGTGACGAAGTGACGGAGACACGCCCGGTTACTCCTGTATGTAGGATTATTAATTGCACCCGGGCGTCGTAACAATAATATTCACGCAGGCTTCGCGCCTGTGACACTTGCAGCAGCGGCATGGACGGCGGCCGGATGCGCGGGGCAGGGAACTGCCAGGAACGTGCACTTCCGACATGGCGACGTGCGGTCCGCGCACAGTTGACGAGCGGTTGGTTCGTGGCTTCGGCAGCGTTGGGTGGAGGAGAGGGATTAACGCGAACAACGATGACATGCTGAGACCACGCCCACCTTACACGAGATGCAGGACGAACGCAGTTTTTATCTTTCACACTCCTCTCCCAAAGAGAAAAATAATATTGAAGCATCTGGAATTCCATTAATTGCAAATATACTAATAAACAAATTAAAATCAAAGTACTTAAAAGGTCGTACAGTGTCGAAAGTACTTTAGATACTGAACAACTTTCATTTACTTTATTATTAGATGGTATCTATCTTACCAGCGATCTAATTAAAATCAATCATTTTAATGTCCGGACAATCAAGGATCTACTGTATAGAGAATTTAGTTTTTAAGTTTGCTATGCCACGTCCTTCGCATTGACAAGCGTTTCATAAGAATGTAATTTAATAAATGTAACTTCAAATTAACTTCTCCCCATAGTACGTCACCCATAGTTTTTAACCATTTGACGTAAATTAATAAATAAAGATTTTGTTCGATCAGAATTACAGTTGCTGGCATATTATTCGCAGTCTTCGTGTTTTTGTCTTGTTTTTTTAATATTTTTATTACATACATTTTTCACTATATCTTCCTAGTTTCCATTTCAGCACATTTGGATCCACGATTGATCCGATAGGCGAAGCGGAATTAATTTTACACTTTCGTACGACTATTGGAAAAACCTTGGTGCGGAAGACTGCGCAATCCTAGCAGAGATAGTTTCACTTCGATACCACGAAAAAAACCGCTTCCAAGAACGCGGCTCCTCCTAGCAGATCGTAAATCCCGGGAACCCGTTTTTCCATCAAGTCAGGCGTGAAGTGAACGAGACTCTTTGGGGGGATGGTCTTACCTCCGACATAGATCCCCCGTAAGTGCTCCACAAATACCACTTCGCAAAGAGAACCTGCACGACGCGCGACTCTTAAGTCGCCGGCACCCTCCCGCCCCCTTTTACGAGTTCCCTTTTACGAGTGGAGTAATGTCACTCATAGAAATAGATCTGCAGTGGACGGAGCGTCACCGTGTCTATTAACTAGACCGTGTGTGTCGGCTGTATAAATAGGAGAGCGATGCGACACAGGACACGTCGCAGTATGATGTTCTGATAGTGCTGTAACCAAAATTTATTTCAAAGAAACCTTGACAAGTCTCCATTTCACAAATAGTTAACACTAACCGAGACTCTACGTAACATTTTATGAATGCCAGTTATAAAATTATGACTTTTTTAACACAGCAATATGGGATACATATCCTGACAATTCATTTACTGTATTTTTAAACAGCAAATTTAAACCGTGTTCAGAGAACATTTGCATTAGATCCAAGATATTAATATGAACTGAACGGAAAACCTTTAGGTGTAATGTTTTTGTTTCGGAAGAACTTTATTTCGTCCCATAGACCTTTTACTAATTAGATGTAGGTTTGCACACGTGTGTACCACGCAGATAGCGGGCAAGAACGCTCTAATAGATAAATATCAGGGTTTTAATACAACATCGGCAGACGTACTAAAAGCTTGTAATTTTAATCGAACCAACCATGCACATCTAAAAAAGTGTCCGTACACGTAAAGTTACTTCAATTACATTAAGCTCAGCCTTGAGCCCTTTGCAACTTTTGTTGCAAAACTTAGACGAAGGTCAAATAGAAATGAAATGGTCCTCCTTTAGCTCTGTCTGCAGTATTTTCGATGATCCACATCACTCCACTTATCTCTACTCTACTCTACTCTCCTCTCCTCCACACCACTCCAGCTCGCTCGGGTTCCCGCGATGTATCATGATAGACCGACTACTTAGTATTGCACACGATCTGAACTTCTGGTGTTTATTTGTCGCGCCACATGGCCTTTGATATAGATCAGTCTGGAAGAGCTGCATTTAAGCCCTCTAAAGTAGCTCTGTAGTAGAGCTTCTTCGCCGACCTGACAAGACATCTGCCAAATCTCGCAAGATATGAACACGATGGGCCCTTTAAATGGGGTAATCTAATGTTGGCCAAGTGTCACATTATTTTAACGCGTTTTCAAACCCCCATGCCGTACAGCAATGTCTTATCTGCCCCTCTCCCGGTTCTTCAAAAGTTATTTCCCGAAGGACATACATACTGACAAGACAGCAAAAAATAGCACAGCACCATACAGGTGTCCAGAAAATAAAATAATTTTATCCTAAATCACTTTACTTTCTCAACCGGCCATTCAGTTGTCTCAACTAATCTAAATGAAAAACTGCAATCGTCAATTTATAAATTAGTGCATCTGGAAGTGGAAAAAGTCCATTTAAGCACTAGTCTAAGTTATTGCAATTTCGTACATGATTTTACGATTTTAATTCAGATATATTTCGTTTCCTTCTACAAATAAGAGTAATGAATATATTTCTCTTATTGAGGTTGGGAAAAAGAATGATAGGTGAATGCTAAAAAATAATTTCATGGCAGCGAGGGATGATAATCATATTTATTTGATAATCATATTTAATTTCAATCAATTAGATTAGTAATTAATAATTTTACAAAATAACGGACGGAAGATCAATAAGAGCATATTAACATTTTTAAAATTGTTATTGATATACTTATTTTTCCAAATATTTTAATGAATAATGGTGAAGGGCATGAACAATCGACAAATCGAGGGCACACCGAAAGACTTCAAATACGTCAATACACTAAGGAAATGCTCCAACGCCGCCGATCACCATTGCCTCTACATTTATTATTCATGGCATCAAACATTAGGCATTTATATTCTAGGATGCGTTTGTGTATAAGCCAGCACAAGCTCGAGCTGTGTATGAATTCCTTAAGATCTATAGAATTTAAATGAGCACTCTTCCGAATTGTTAATTGTGTATGGACGTTTTTCGCAAGTTGAAAAAAAACAACTGAATAAACTCACCAACTCTCAGCAAGTGCACACCATCGATCAAGATAACTCACCTGAAAAACAAAAAAAGTAAACGTCAGAAATTTGTTGAGATACAAAATTCACAATGCTAATATTAATCATTAGAAAATATCATTTAGTAATGAAATTTTGTATTTTTAATCATCAACTGTCTGTTAAAGATAACAAAAGTACACATAAATTCCATACGTTCTTAATAGATAGTTAACGTTTATTGCATCAACATCGTTCTTGATATTACATGAACACATTGATATTACACGACATTACATGACATTTTCTTTCATGACGTAATATCAAGAACTAAGAGCTGATGCAATGAACTTTTACTATCTAAATTACATAGACTTATGGAACTTATTGTATCATTTCGTTACCTAAAATTTCATTAGGTTTAGAAACACTACATACGTCATTTTTACACATTTTCATATTATGACAAATTCATGTTGGATTTACCAATTTGAGTTAACCCTGATTACAATGAGGTGGTGATTTACCAATACATCAATATAAATATCAATGCCAATACAATACAAATTAATCTGCTGATTTGATAAATGGGGAAAATATTGAATTTACATATGCATTATTTCATGCCAGCAACAAAATGCGTTGTAGAGGCCACATCCAAAACAAATATTGTGGAATGGACACCACACCCCTATTGTAATAAATTATTATTCATTGTAAATAAATAATAATTTATAATAAGTTTTTACGATTTAATATTTTCTTATACCAGGAAATCCCTCTTCGGTCAGCATTCCGCGTATTACAGTGAAGCAGAGTTGCAGCTGGCTATCACAGGTACCTATCCCAGGCGGCAAACTTCTACGACTCACGGATACAATTTTTGATCTCCTATGACAAATATCTCAGTTCTGTTCGTGATAGTTGTGAACACGTACTGTATCTGCTACAATAAAGTTCTCATGAAAATGTGTTTGCTTCTTACTGACGATCTAGGGAATCTTTTTTACATGCGGCTCATCCATTACAGGTCCAAACCTGAGCAGGGACTCGCCCAGCTGGCCTGGATTTTCCCCTCAGCAGCAAGCCACCGGGCTTCTCTCGTCCCACAGAATCCAATCGTCAACATCGCCCGTCCTGGGGAAACACTGCCCCGGGGGTCAGCGGTTCGCGTCGCTCCCTCCGGGCTGATTTCGTGGCCATCCGTCAGCCGCGACCTGCTCCCGAACCCTCGCCGCCTGCTCCGCCTCGCGCCCGCGGGGCCACCCGATCGCGCCGAGAAGCGTTTTAACTAATTGATGGTGAAAGGTCTTTTGTATCTAAACGATGACTCGTTGGCGAATTGGGTGTGAGCTTAAGCTTTGAATAATATATATTTTGTAGGGGCGTCCCCACACAACACACTGCCACTCTCCGTCGCCCCCTCGGTAATAGAATGAATTGGGGCGGTTGGGGTAGGGGCGGAGTGTTGGCGGGGGTGGGGTCGAACAGGGTGATGGGCAGTGGTGGCTGCAGCGGAGCAAGGGCATGGAGGAGACTCGTTTCGGCTTATTTCTCTCCCTCCTCTGCAGCGGCTGTCAGGATACCACTAAACAGATATATCGGAGATGGATGGAATGGATGGCTCGTAATTTTCGAAGTTTGTCGGTCGCCATATTGTTGTCTGCGTATTTTTCTGTTCGGTTCTGTAATGCCCTTTTTACAAGCTGTCATTTGACAGCTTCCCCTAAACTCATATGGTGTCTAACTCTTTTCAGACAAGCAATAATTTGAAAGAACACACTAAATTATGCTATGCACAATCGTGTTTTCTTGGTACGTTTCGTGGAATTAAAGTGTGTACTGAATCGGGCGCTAAGGAAAACGGGAGAGAGAATGGTTAAAATCAATGTGTAGTGTCCTTTCTTATCTGGTTAACTCCAAGTTCGTGGTGTTGATGAGGCGTGAAAACTACTTCTCTCTTCTTCTTCCTCGTAGTCTTCTCCTCTGCGCCTTATCTATAATTTCGTTATGCTAACTCTCGAAAATTTAAGTAATGCAGGCTAACCATTCGAATTGGTAATTGCGCACCCTTTTCAGACGTCACAAATAATTTGAAACGCTTCCATAATCAATCACCTTAGCCAAGTGTGTAATATTGATGGTCGGAGGATATTTTTGGAACTGAAATGGGTACACACGAGAAGGCGAGGGCGGAAATGCGTGGGGGTGGGAAGAACTTGCAGCTGGGGAAGATGGGCGGGAACCGCGACGCGTTACATCGCCAGGGGGGGGGGGGGGGAGCGGGCAGAGCCAGCGGAGTGAGCGTCCCGGTCCGCTTCATTCCGCCGTTAAACTAGCTCACAAAAAAGCGGCGGGGTTTCCTTGGGGCGGCCCGGGGCGGCGGGCGGCGGCGGCGGCGGCGGCGGGCCGCGGCGCGAGGGCTGGGGCAGAGGCTGCGGCGGCTGCAGGGCCCAAATATTTGTGCTTGCTACGCCCCCCGTCGGCTGGCGCTCCGCGCCGACGTAAAAGAGGGGCGGGAAGGGCGGGGATATGTAAAATGCACGCTTGCATCGGGCACGGGGATTGCGGTGGAATATGGTCTACACTTCGTCTACCGGCTGGCCAATTGGGCTGAGGAGGGCAGCGGTTCATTTTTCTCAAAATGGCAATAAAATGCAGAGTCGGATGCTCAGAAATGCTCGTAAATGAGAACTTTCGTTAGAAGCATTCTCGTGTTGTTGGGATATTAGATGGTGGTAATGTTGGTAGTGATGATATAAGAGTAAAATCAAGTAGTGAGGAATTAATAAGTTTTTCTCTATGACGGTAATGTGTTTGGTACTCATTTTTCGCACAGAGTAAAATTTTTTTCTTAGATTCTGACATAATGAAGTTAACTCTGAAAATTCTTGGCGTAATTAATGAACGTAATGTAAGTAATTGATCATTATAATATTTGAATTGGAGTTAGGTATGACCCTGTGGCAGTTAAATTAACAATAATAAAATAATAGTAAATAATGTAAAAAGACGTTAGCTTTTTTTTGAACGTGCTCTGGGATTTCCTAACGAAAATGTTAACCGAATCAGTGTGGCAAGCTTCAGAATATGAAGCTGTACAGTCCCAGGCCCATGCGGAAATGTGATGGAGTGTTGCTGGGCTACGAAATCTGCCGGTCTAACTGGTGATCGGTTTGAGCCGATCCGTTAGCGCGCATATGGGCACCGTTTTCGTCATCGGAACGATGACGCAGACGGCTCACTGTGACACTCGATTTTAGAGAGAAATTTTGTCATTACGGCACCATCTCGCCTTTGTCGCGTTGGTC